GACTAGCAAGGGCTACACAGTGAGACCCTGTCTCGAAACATTAACATTATCATTACAAATCCTCTGTTTTTGTTTTCTGAGACAGGGTTTCTGTGTAGCTCTGGCTGTACTAGAACTCACTCCATAGAACAGGCTGACCTCAAACTCAGAGACATATCTGCCTCTGCCTCTCTAGTGCTCAAATTAAAGGCGTGCCCACTATGCCTGCCTGGTTTTGTCATGTCCCACACCACCACCACCCCCTCACCCGGCTACCCAAGGTACACAAAATATTCAGTGTAGATGTAACGGTCTTATTAAATAAGAAACACAGAGGCAAATGCTGAGTTAAAAGCCCTCAGAAAGAGACCTACTTCCTGTGTGTCTGTCTTTTTATTGACTTTCTGTTCTGCCTTCTTATTGGTTGTAAACCCAACCACATGACCTCCTCGTCACTGCCTGTCTATACTGACCTCTAGGTCTCTGTGGTTGGTATTGAGATTAAAGGCCTGTGTCTCCATGCTGGCTGTATCCTTGAACACAAGAGATCTGCCTGTCATGTGATCGGGATTAAAGGCATGTGCTACCACTGCCAGACTTCTGCTATGGCTTGCTATTAGCTCTGACCCCCAGGTAACTTTATTTATTAACCTACAAATAAGATCACATTTCACCACAAATAAAATATCACCATATTCAGTCTTGATACCTTTCGGCATTCAGTAGTCATTTTCTTCTTCTTTTCTTTTCTCCCTCCCTCCCCCCACCCCCCAGTGCTAGGGATCAAACTCGGGGCTTCATGTGCACAAGGTAAGCACAGGGAGCTATAGCGAGCAACCAAGGAGCTAGATCCCTAGACGCCAGCATTTTCTTTCTTTAAAAGGAAAAAAACAAACTATTTCATTTCTAATCATTTGCGCACGTGTTTGGGGTGGTGGTGGTCTATGACGCATGCATGGGTGCCTGCAGAAGCCAGAGGCATTAGATACCCTGGAGCTGGAGTCACAGGTGGCAGTGAGCTGCCCAGCACGGGTGGTGGGAGCCAAACACTGGTCCTCTGGGAAAGCAAGTGTTTGGTTTTTTTGGGGGGTGGGGTGGGGGTTGAGACAAGTTTTCTCGTGTAACTTCGGAGCCTGTCCTGGAACTGGCTCTGTAGACCAGGCTGGTATTGAACTCACAGAGATCCGCCTGGCTCTGCCTCCTGAGTGCTAGGATTAAAGGCTTGAGCCACCACTGCCCTTCTGAGTAAGTGTTCTTAACCTCTGAGCTAGCTCTCCAGTCTCTCGCACTCATTTTCAATATTAGTCATAAATATATGTCAATGTGCTATAATTCAACTAGTTATTATTTTGATATGTAGACAGCATTGTTTTTGAGAAATTCTTTAACCTTGACCACATGCTTATCTGTGGTCGGGGAGTATAGTCCAGCGGTTACATATTTGTCCTCTGACATCCACATGGGTGCCTTGACACACATGCAGTGTACACAAGTGGTTGGGCGTGTGCACATGCACACACAGAGAAGTAAAAATGTAAAAACATAAATTTTAAACAGTAAAAAATGATATCTTATAAAAATACCCCATCATAATGAGAAATAACCTATTACCTAACCTTTCATAAAAGGTTTACCTCCTTTTATGAAAAGAACATTTCTAAGTGGCTACTGGGGACTTCTGGGTGAGAGGAAGCAGGTTCCCTGCACCCACGAGTGGTTCTCAACCATCCCTAGCGCTGGCTCCTGGGGACACCCTCTTCTGAACTCCTTCCTTCCAACCATGAACATGGCACACATGGACACAGGCAAGCAAAACATTCATACACAAGCTAAACACATCTAAAAAAGAAAAGAAACTCAGCCTGGAGGAGGGAGATTTAATTGCTTATCTGTTGCTGTGATAAAGCACCATGATCCGAAGCAATTTAGAAAAAGTAGAGTTGGTTTGGGTTTACAGATCCATTGGGAGATTCTGGGGGAGGAGATCGGCCACGGGCCACAGGCATGACTGACGGCATAGCACAGGAGGCCGAGAGCTCACAGCTCATACACATAAAATTAATCAGTCAAAACAGAAAATACTCAGTGACAAGGCTTCCAAAGGATTTCACAAAAATGAAACCTAGGTGTGTAGTGGGAGCATAAAACCAATGCTCATCATTAAAAAGTACACCCATTTAATTTTTTTTGTATCATAAAACAAATTATTATAACTGTGTAAGAAAACATACACCAAGCTTTCCAAGAAATACTTTTTTCCTAGAGAAAAACTGTTATACATTCTACCTTCTGATTCTCATCCAACATCGTGAACTTTTAAAGTACTAAAGGTGCTTCTTTATCCTCAAGTGACAGCATTATTTTGAGGGCTGAAACATTTTAAAGGAATAAAAGACAAAATAAAGGAAATCTCCAACTGGAAAACAAAAAATAATGGATCTGAAAGACAAATTTCGTTATTGCTTCTAGTCCACAGTAAACAAGCTTCAAATTTTAAGCTGCTAGCCTTAAAAACAGCTCTGTTAAGAAAAGCATTAACTCAGAATCATTACGGATTCCAAATCCTCTGGCGACAAACTCACCTTAAACACTGCCACATCTCTGTAAGAAGGAAAATTTTCAACAACCAGGTACATTAACTTCAGTGCACTCTTTTCACATTTTTTGACACAATTAAGAAAAGAGCCTCCAAACTTGTCCAGCAGAATTTTCCCAGTCTCATTTAGAATCCAATGCCTCTCTTCTATTAAAGGCATGGGCGTGGCTGTGTCTGAACGAAATATATTCTGAACTTGATCAAGAGTCACTGTGGCGTAGTAGGAGGCACTAGTTATTGGTATCCCTTTAAAGAGAAAATTCAGAGATTTTCACAACTTGTAAATAATATGGAATCAAATTCTCATTAAAGACAATGGAGTGCGGTGCTGCTGGCCTACTCTGAGCACCGGGGTAGGGGGTGAGGCAGCAGGATGGGATCCCAGTGAGTTCAAGGCCAGTGAAGTCTGAATTCTATACCCGCCAGGGCTACTCAATGAGATGTCTTTCTGTCGGAAGGCTAGGGTTCAGTTCCCAGCACCCACGTGGCGGTTCACGACCTTCTGAAACTGTAGTTCAAGGGCATCGACCTCCGTGGGCATTACATGCACATGGTGCACAGATATGCATTCAGGCAAAACAAAACAACAACATACAAACAAAATAAATAACTCTAAATAAGTGCTCCAGATATGCATAAAAGGTGCACAAATAACAATCTGAAGTAACCCCTGCTTCGCTGTGTATTTACTCCAACACTACTCACGACAGCAATGTGACATCGCTGTAAAATGTGACACTGTGTAAAACGTTCTATAATCTGTCCTTTTCTTCTTCAGGTGGCCTTCACTTTTCATTTATTTTCCTGTGACAGGGTTTCACTCCCTACAAGCCTGGCCTGAAACTACGCTCTTCAGGCTGGCCTAGAAACCGGTGATCCTCCTGTTCCTGCTGTGGCCTGGAGTGCTGGACTGTGGACAGGAGCCACTATGGCCAACTTAAAGTGACTTTTTTTTTTTTTTTTTTTTTAAAGAAAACTGGCTTTGTCACTGAAAGGACCAGGCAGAAGCCCTAACAGGAGCAAGCAGTTTCTAGGAGCGCCATAAACAAAAGACAAAATCCTTGTCTTGCAGTGGCTCCCTTTCTGCACGTACTCTGACCGCTCAAGGCTCAGCCAATTGTTTATTGTCTGGGACCCCTCACCAACTCAGAGCTATGTGCATGAGTCAAGGACAGAGCCTGGACCACTGAGTTAGCTCCCAGTCAGTACGTCCCCGTCCAGCCAGCCTTCAAGGCAGCTCCAGGCCTGCCCCAAATGATTACGGTAACCCCCAACTAACAACCCTTGCTGCGCCGGTGCAGCTGGAGCACGAAATCTGGCGAGGGACGCCGAGGTTCAACAGCACTCTAGACACCCAGTTTCAGTTCTCAGGGAAGCAGCTCTTAATTCATACCAACATGGGCTTAAATACCCCTCTAACAGCAGGGGTCAAGGACTGGTTACTCTGTATCCGGAGGCAAGCCCAACACTGTTTTCCAAACACGAAAAACCAAAGGGGAACTGATCCCCAGCACCCTCCGGAACCAAAATGCACATTTTTCACACAAACAACTTAACTGGGACGGGACCAAAAAGGGCATTTAAAATTAAGGCAGCAAACTTACTGCTGCCGACAACCCTAGCCAATTAAAAGTCACTAACCTGATTGCCACTCCCATAAACCAATCCTGAGTCTGTTCCCCCCACCCTGTTCTATGTAGTCTGTAGACCCCAAGCCTCCCTTGCTTTAAAAGCCCTGCCCCATTGCTAATGGGGGGGGGGGTCTCTCCTGCTCTGCTGCTGTCAGGCTGACGGAGAGTCCCGAGTTAACTAGTAACAACACAGAGTCTGCTTTTGCATCGGTTTCCGTCTCTTGGTGGTCTTCGGGGCACTCTGGGTCCAACAGTCACCTCTGCTGACTGACAGACGGCTGCTGTGTGTAGACTTCGGCCTCCGGCAGAGGACACCTCCCGACCCGCACCGGGCGACCGGTGCGAAGGGCCGGCCACACCCACCTTGGTCGAGCGCTCGGTTCACGGCGGCGCACAGGGCCCAGTAGCCGGTGTACGCTCTCCCGCCGTAATGCACCTCACACCTGTGCTCCTCCTGCTCCGCCCAGAAGGAGAAGTTGAGCGTGTCCACCACGAACACCCAGTTGAGCGCAGCCTCGTCGGCCCCGCGCGGGTTGAGCTCGTGCAGGGACTTCCACTGCTCCACGCGCCACGCCGCGGCCGCGGGCAGCAGCAGCTCGGCCATCCTGCGCACGCCCTCGGGGTCCACGTACACGTCGCGACTGTTCTCTGTCACGAAGCTCGCCGCCTCGCGCGGCGGCAGCGGGAACTCCATGCTGCTCTCGCCCTGGTCCCCACGGCTGTGGCCACGCCCACCTTGGGGCCACGCACTTGGGGCCACTTCCGGGTGTGAAATCCGGAAGTCGCGCCAGGAGGCTTCCGGGTGGGCTCTGTGGCTCCGGGCTCGGCCAAATTGTTCCTGGTCGCACGCCAGTGGCACGCGGGTCTTTGAGGAAGACTTGGGGGTCGCGTGGGTCGTGGGGACTCAAAGTTCCTGCGGCGCCGCCTGGTGGCGAGATGTGGACAAGCCTTCGGCGGCAGCCAGCAAACGGCTACTGGGCTGCACGCCCAGGAGCCCCTCTGTCTCCACGCTTCAGAGGCCGAATGGATGTTTAGGATTAGTTGGAACCTTGAGTAGAGGAGGGAACACTGTTGTGTGTCTGACCTTGTGCGCAATCACTGGATTTCCTGCATGTAACAGGAGTGATGGTGAGCCCCGGTTTGCGAGTAAAGGGAATAACCAGATGATGCGGTTCCCCGAAGGGAACTGTAGGAGCCAACTGTAGGAGAAAGGACCGGCCAAAGAAACCCACCCTGGCCCTGAATCCAGAGCCAGTGAAAGAAACACTTTAGCCCTGAAACCAGATCCAAATCTGCCCCTAACCAACTAAGCAGAAAACGAACCAATCCCCGAGGACGAGATCTAGGCAATCAGAGCTCAAGGGACTGAAATCTGACCAATTCCCACCCAGAAAAACTTCTTCATGGAAGACTGTATAAGCCCTGCTCGCCTGCCTGTTCAGTTCGCGGCTGTCTTTTTTCACCCTGGCAGAGTGGATTCTTCCCTCCCAATAAACAAATCTCTTTTTTCGCCAGAGCAGAGATGAAGCCTGGACCGAGCGGAGCAGAGAAGGGCTTTAACGCTTTGGCTGGGGAAACCTTCCCCTAGGGGACCAGAGTTGTGGAAACCTGAGCAGAATTGTAACTAACAACTTCGTTGGTGAAGCCCTGCGCTGCTGGAGCAAAAGCTGGTACATTGCAGCAATCTTTCCCTGGAGCAGGGATAAGCTGCTACGCTCTCTGTGATTTGTGCTATTCCTTGGCTCCCAAATGCCGGAACACTTTTCCATCTGAGCTGTAACACTTAGTATTCCTTGGCTGCCGATTGCCAGAACCCCTTTCCATCAGAGTTGCAATGCTTACACCAATCATAAATGCCAACCATTCTGGTCATTAAGTGGTGACAGGGCAAGACAGTGCAAAAGTTCCTCTATCATGTATTCTTGCCGCTCTTTTTTTTTTTTTTTTTTTTTTTTGGTTTTTCGAGACAGGGTTTCTCTGTGCAGTTTTGCGCCTTTCCTGGAACTCACTTGGTAGACCAGGCTGACCTCGAACTCACAGAGATCCGCCTGCCTCTGCCTCCCGAGTGCTGGGACTAAAGGCGTGCGCCACCACCACCCGGCTTCTTGCCGCTCTTGATGGAGAATCCCATAGAAAATTATCCAACTCTATTCTAGGACCCAGAAGTCAGCTAACTTAGCTTCTGTTAAAACTCCCTGTTTGTGTGGAATCCCCTCCAGCTAACTAACTGCTTTTCTCCGATTTTGTTAAAACTGCCTGTTTCTTGAAAACTTCCCTACAGCGGCTGAGCGAGGTGCCAGGATGTGGTGGTGGTTCCTGCCTTTAAAAGATTGGTCATCTTCCAGGACAGGCACCAAAAACTACACACAGAACCCCTGTCTAGAAAGCAAACAAAACAAAACTGGTGATCTGGGCCCTCGGGACCACACCCAAGTCCCTGAATACCTGGGTGTGGTCCCAGCTGGCTAGAATCAAGACTTTCAATTGACTATGTACTGTAAGTGGTGGTCTCTAGTGGGCTACCCAGAAGAACAAAGTAGCAACTATAGACAATAAATGAAACATCACCCCAAATTCCAAGTTTTAACAGACTTATCGATAGATACATTGGTCAATGTAGAAGTGATCCAAAGTTGCCTGGGAATGCAGAATTAGTATAAAAGGATGTTTTTATTCTTTGAGATTTTGTTGTTTTGAGACAAGGCCTGTGTAGACACCCAGAATTTACTATGTAGACCAGGCTGGCCTTGAACTCACATAGATCTGCCTGCCTTTGTCTCCTGAGTGCTGGGATTGAAGGCACCCATGGGTCACCATGTCCAACTTTGTCTTGTTCTTTAGATGTTGATTTGTTGTTGTGGAATATTAGTTTAAGATGTGTTATATTCATTTATGCTGTGGAACATTTGTTTAATGGTGCAAAGATGTGTTGCATTCTTTATTGCTGCATTAGTTTAATTCTGTAAAGCTGTGTTACTTTGCCTGTCTAAAACACCTGATTGGTCTAATAAAGAGCTGAACGGCCAATAGCTAGGCAGGAGAGAGAAATAGGGGAAATCTAGGCTAGAGAAAGTGAGCGAGGAGTGAGAAAAGGAGGAGAGGAGGGCACCAGGGGCCAGCCACCCAGCCACACAGCTAGCCTGGGCTAAGGAAAGAAAGATATATATGGAATAGAGAAAAATAAAAGGCCCAGACGTAAAATGCAGTAAAAGAGAAACAGGATAATTTAAGTTAGAAAAGCTGGCTAGAAACAAGCCAATCTAAGGCCAGGCATTCATAAGTAGGAATAAATCTGTATATTTATTTGGGAGCTGGGTGGCAGGCCCTCAAAGAGTTAAAAAACAAAACTATATTTTGTATCCTGCAATTCTGCTGTTTATTAGATTCAAAATTCTTTTTTTTTTTTTTTTTTCAGAGCTGAGGACCGAACCCAGGGCCACTGAGCTAAGTCCCCAACCCCCAAAATTCTTCTAGTAAATTTTATAAAGGTCTTTTAAAAAATTGTTATTAAGTTTTTTGTCAGGAGTATTTTGCCTGCATGCATGTATGTGTAACTATGTATGTATCTTAGGCCCACACAGGTCAGAAGAAGGCGATGGAGCCCCTGGAGCTGGAGTTACAGGAGATTGTGAGTGGCAATGTGGGTGCTGGGGCTCCGTCTGGGTCCAGTGGGAGAGCAGTCAGTGCTCTTCACCTTTAGGACAGCTCTTAAGTCCATATAGAGTGCCTTGTAAATAAGAGTCCCATTTCCTTAAAACAGGAATCGATGGGTTCTTTTCCTATTTTTTTTTTTTAAGATTTATTTATTTATTATGTATCCAGTATGCATGTATGCCTGCAGGCCAGAAGAGGGCACCAGATCTCATTACAGATGGTTGTGAGCCACCATGTGTGTGCTGGGAATTGAACTCAGGACCTCTACGAGAGCAGCCAGTGCTCCTAACCGCTGAGCCATCTCTCCAGCCCTTCTTTTCCTCTTTTCAATTACAGCCAAGACTTCAAGCACTATATTGAATAAACAGGGAGAATGGGCAACCTCGTGCCATTCTTGATTTTAGAAGAAATGCTGTCTTAGTTTTGTTGTATATAGCCTCTATTATTTTGAAGTATGATCCAATCCACCTATTTCTAACACTGCAGAACTTTTTATCAAAAGGCATGTTGAACTGTGTCAAAGCCTTTTTGATTGAGATTATATGGTTTCTGTCTTTGTTTATATGGTGTATTACATTTTAAAAAAGATTTATTCATTTTATGTATGAGTGCTCTATCTGCATATACACCTTTATTCCAGAATAGGACATCAGATCCCACTATAGATGGTTCTGTGCCACCATGTGGTTGCTGGGAATTGAACTCAGGACCTCTGGAAGAGCAGTAAGTGCTCTTAACTGCTGAGCCATCTCTCCAGCCCAGGTTATTACATTTTTGATATCTATGTTGAGCCACAGCTAAATATCTCTTCATTCAAAGAAATTAATCATCACCATTTCATATTGTATATAGCCACCCCAACTCAGACAAGTTCCTCATTTTAAAAGCTTTATTATTTTATTTTACACTATAAAGTAACAAGGGAACAAACAGCAATAGTACAGGTCAGATACACTACAGAACAAAGAGCTAGGGGAGTGCTCACAGGCCTGGAGCTCAGACTCAAGTGTCTGAGCTTTTCCTTGGGTCAGATTTTTTTTTTTTCTTGAAGGGAAATGACTCATCTTGGAGGAATCCTATCCATTTGTGCACACAAACTGACAGTGCCGACTTTTATGGCTCTCCTAAGAGAAGTAGACGTTTGGAGCCCCAACATGCTTGAGAATGTATACACATGACTGGCCACCTGGAGTACACAGCTCTGCAGACAGAAGAGACCTTGCCTCAAAGTCAAGGTTAAAGGAGAGAAATGACTTCAAAAGAGTCCTCTGACCTCCACTTAGGTTGGGGTCCCCAAGCACCTACACTCATTCCCATAGGGGGATGGGGTTGAGTAACCCTGGCTGTTAGTTACTTGTCTTATTGGTGTCACAAAAACACCTGACAAAAAAACTTAAATATTGCTTTGGCCCAGCTTGAAGAGTTCTATCTTGGCAGCAGCAGTTTGAGCTAGCCACTCACGTCTGCCGTGAGGAAGCAATGAATGATTATGCTTAGTTCACTTTATTCAGTCTCAGACCCTAGTCCATAGAGAGGATGCGCCTCCAATTTAGGCTAGTCTTTCCCACCTCAATTAACCCAATCTAGATTCCCTCTCATAGGCAGCAATATTCACCATCACTCCTAGGAACATGCCCATTGCTAGTCCCTCCATAAATTGGTTTAGTTGTTGAGGTATGCTTATTAATTTGCTTTGTCTCGATAGGGTCTCACGCAGCCATGGCTGGTCTTGAGTGCCTTCCTATTCCTGCCTCTCCTGTGCTGTCAATTTGCATCATAAACCTTTTTATTTGGTTTTTGAAGACTGGGTTTTTCTGTGTTGCTCTGGCTGTCCTGAACTCCCTCTATAGACCAGGCTGGCCTCAAACACCCACCTGCCTCTACTTCCCAAGTGCTAGGATTAAAGGAATGCACTCCACTCCTCACTTAAAAACTTTAAATGAACATTGAAATTTCATTTTTGTTAATACCAATTTAAAATTCTTGTGTATGACGGGAGTGGGCACTCTGATCCCTGTAAGTGGAGATCAGAGGACAACTTTGTGGGTTCTGGGGATTGACCTCAGGTTGCAAGGCTTGTGTGATAAGTGCTGGCTAGCCCCTGGATTTAATTAACTAGTACCCTTGTTTTTGTTCTAATTGCAATATTGCTTTTCAAGAATTCTGTAGTACCATGAAGCTGTGCCAGCCTTGGTGTGGTGGTGTAAGATTATAATCTCCTACATTGGCTCAGGCAGGACCACAGATTGAAGGCCAGCCAGCTAGCCTGTCTTAAACAAAGAACACAAGTTGATTTGGGTTCATAGAGATAACTCATAAATGTGCCAATTCTGACCAGTTTCATCCATGGAATGCTCATAGTCAAGGGTATTTAGCCTTCCAAATTGTTCCGACCTCCACACATGCATGGCACAAATGTTCACCCCACCCCCCACCTCACCCAAATAAATTGAATATAGAATTTGGGATTATTTTATGAGTTTTTGGAAAAATATTATTTCCAAACTTCTGGTAGACACATTAAAAAAGACCCTATTAATCATATTTTGGATGGGCTAGTAAAATAGTTCAGTTGGTGAAAAGTGCTTGCTGTACAACCATGTGTTAGGGTTCCCAGAACCCCATAGAAAGCCAGGGCAGGAGCCTGAAAACTGCTAAGAAAGCCAATGAGCAACTGGTTTCAAGGAAGGTGAAGTCAGAAAACCCTCTGGCCACCACACCCCATGTATAATCCCCTCATAAGCAGACACATGCATACAAACTTCAGTCAAGTCTTATGCACGTTTCTCCCTGGAAAATTGTTTTATGTAGTTTCCTTTGAAATCTTGCTATGTACCCCTGGGTTGGCCCAAACCTTCAATGATCCATCTGCCTGTCCCAAGATTACAGATATACACAATCCTGCCCAGCTGCCAAGACACTGGGGATAGAACCAAAGGCCTCAAGCACTCCACCAACTAAGCCACTCCTTTACCTGTGGGGTAGCCTAGTTCTTAGTCCTAAGACCACTGGGTAAAAAGCCCATCCTTTCCAAAACTTTATTCAAATCAGTGTCACTATGCAGGGCATCCATGTATTGATGCATTTATGTTGTTGAAAGAACACTGTGTTCTTTCACTTTACCGACTTTGTGAAAGCAGTCTTAAGGGATGCTTCCCTCTGGTAGTACTAGCAATTTGTTACTGTTTTTTTTGTTTCACTCCAAACTGAAACCGTAATTCACTTAAATGCCAAGGCAAGGCCAGCCATGCCTAGGATGCAATACAGCCAAGCCTTACCTTCTGGAAAGGAATCTCAGGTTATGACTTGCTGGTTTTGAGAATGAACTCATTTAATGGTTCCTTAACCAAACTCTATGCCCTTCATAAGCGTGCCACCCTCTATAGTCTCTGGCAAGCACTACTCAACATGTGTTACAACAAAACCTGCCCACTTTACACTCTTACACCAACCTTTTCAAGCTTAAGCTGTAACTCCACCTCAAACTTACTGGCGCAGAAAGCAAGTTATCTTTACTCACTACAGTTATACTGTCTCCAATGAGTCACACATTTGAGGCTTGATTTACTCAAAATGACCGAGCTCTGAGGTCTATTTAGTATCACAGTGTCACTTCCTGAACTGTCCTTAACCAGACTTTGTCTCTATGTGCTAAAAAACATTTCACACAAAAAACCCCCAATGTAATTTAAGATCTCTATTTCCTTACAAGAGGAACACTTCAACAAACTTTACATATATCAGTCAACCCCCTTTCAAATTGGGCACACATCAAACTAACATCATGGAAGTTTTATTTAGATGTGGATTTTGAACTATCAATACAGATGCCAAGTTACTACACAAAACATCCACAGGAACTTTTTCCATTTGTTTTGAATCGTTCACAAACATTTCCTACATAATTCAACACACAACAGAGAAATGGTACATCTTTTTTCTTTCATTGTGCATACAACGGAAAAACAAGTATATATATATTTTTACAAAGTTCAACTAACAAGACACTAGCAGGTTGACAGTTTGTCTATAGGTGAGAAATTATCTAACAAAAATAACCAGATTTACTCAGCATCAGCCACTTCCATTACCAAGTGTTATTCTGATTAATAAAGCTCATTGCCCATCAGGCTTCTGGCATATACTTAAGATGGTTAACTCTTGTAATATTGCTCCCCACCTTAGTTCTCCACAACTAACACAGAAAACTGTTGAAAAGTTTTGGCAAACATTTGCAAAAACAAACAAAATCCCAAGCTTATTATAAGCATGAATATGTGATGGAAATTTAATCAAGCCACATCTTTCCAACCATTAAGAAATCACCCAAACTGAAATTGCCAATGTGTTTTGCCTATATCCAAGAGGTGCACTTATATCCAACAGAGGAGCTGAAAATCAAACTTAGTGTTTAGTTTAGGGGTGGGCTGGAAAATTCAACCACCATTTGAAAATTGTCTTAATTTAAAAAAAAAAAAAAAAGACCACCAAAAATAGATTCACTAAATTTATTTTAAAAATCATAAAACGTTTCTTACAAAAGAGCATTACATTCTGCACACTGCTCTGAACAAATGCCAGGGACATGTGGACTATTACTTTCCTCCCTGTCCCACCCCCCCCAATGTTACAAGTGACCACAAAGCAAGGTGTTCACAATAATTACACGGGGGGAATTTTTTTTAAAACCACCAACAATGAACAAAAAATAAAATTCACTCACTCTGCTGCTGTTTCAAAATTTCAATGTTAGTTTTTGCATGCCCTCCCCCCAACCCTGTTTGTAAGGAACTAAAACATTACATCTGGTGAACAGCAAAGATTTCACTACACCTCAAATGCAGAACACCTAT